TTTTAATTTCTTTTGGAATGTTCTTTTACAGTTATTGATTATTATAATTATTAATTGTTTTTGGCTAAAGTTTTTGAACTATTGATTATTTGATTTTTTATTTTCTTAAATGTAATTGCTAATTGATTATATTATCTGATTTTTTATTTGTTTGAAAGAGAGCTTTTAGTCTTTTGATTAGTTCTTACTAAGGTGAAGAAAAATTATAGTTAATTTCAAGTTGTGAATTTATACTAATCATCTTTTTGTCTTATTTATACCTACTTCATAATTATTTGTTAACTTTGTCAAACAAATATGTTAGCCGTAGATTTAAGTTTTATATTTATTATTCTTGTATTAGCTTCCTATAATACAAATCTAGATTAGCAAACTTGGTTTGTTTTGTTTTGAGTTATTTTATTTTAATTCGCAATTTAAGTTACTTGCACAAATTACTCTATTTTTAAAAAGACTTTAGCTTTAATGATTTGTTTTAATTAATTTATGATGCATTACTTTTTTGGTTTATGATTGTTTTATTTTTTTGTTTGAATTTTAGAATTTAGGTATTTTTAATCTGTTTTTATATTTTATTATTGTTGTATTCTTATTTTTTATTATATTTAGGGTATTTTTTATTTATAATTTATAAATAATTTTAATAATAAAAATTATAAATATTAAACAAACCATTTAACTTGAAAAAAATTCTTTTATAATTTACAGTTGTGGCCCTCCAACGTTAAATTCTGGCTCCAAACGTGAATCACCTACTCACCAACGTGCGGCAAAGTCGGTGAACTCAGCTTTCTAGTAGTGATTCATAAGTAGGTAGAATCAAAAGTGCCGAGAAAGTAAAATTGCTACTGAACACAGCTAATTTTTAAGATATTTTGAATCAGTTAACCACTCCAAAAGTACAGGCCTTTAATTCTATTTCAGTTTCCCATTTTACAGTTTTTCCACTTTTGTAATTTACAAAACTTATCAACGAAATTGAGCGAGTGTTAAGCTCTTCCATTCTCTACTTCTCATTTTCAAAACATTACACGCATAACCGAACCATTATATCAAAAAAAATAAACGCAACAGAACAATCAGTGTTATGCAACCATGATAAGTCTGGGTGCATCTTGTCCGGAAAATCCGGGCCTCCAGACCTAATACCCACGGCCACAACAAGCTGCAATTCAAAAAATAATATAAAATAAAATACCTGGTTCATAATGAGTACTGAAGTAGACTCTGGTTCTCTTGGCACTCCGACCCTCTCGGATGTCTAAGTTTTCTCAATATCTCTCTCTCTCTTCTTTTCTGTGTGGTCTCCTTCTAATAATTCCGTTATTTAAAGAGAAAATGTGTCATACTTCATTTCTTTTGCATATGTATTAAATTTTTTTTTATTTTTATATTTAATTTGTCCTTTTTAATCTCTTTTTATTTTTTATTTTAAAATAATTGTAATTTTAAATTAAGGATTTTTAAAAAAATTTTGTATTTATTGGGATTATTTTTAGAAAAAGCTAAAATATAAAGTAATAATTTCTGTAATGAAATAATTAATTAAAATAAATTAATAATGATATGGTTAAAAGAAAATAAAAA